GCAAGCTTCCAGGTCATAGATGGATTCAAAGATTTATTTTTATTTTTATTTTTGAGATAGCGTCTTACTCTGTAGCCCAGACTGGAGTGCAATGGCATGATCTCAGCTCACTGCAACATCCACCTCCTGGGTTCAAGTAATTCTCCTGTTTCAGCTTCCTGGGTAGCTGGGACTACAGGTGCAGTCCACCATGCCCAGCTAATTTTTGTATTTTTAGCAGAGATGGGCTTTTGCCATAATGCCCAGGCTTGTCTTGAACTCCTGAGCTCAGGCAACCCGCCTGCTTTGGCCTCCCAAAGTGCTAGGATTACAGGTGTGAGCCACCACACCTGGCCAGACTCAAATATTTTTTGATTGGCAATTGGTTGAAAGAGTTATTATTTAAGGACCTGGAATCAATAGACAGGAATGTCTGGGTTGTCATGAGGGGTCATGAAGACCAAGGTTTTATCATGCAGATGAATGCTCAAAGTAGCAGGCTTCAGAGAGAATAGGCTGTAAATGTTTCTTATCAGACTTAAGAGTCTGTTCTATCAGTCTTACGGTCTCTGTGTTTATGTTAAAGCTGATGAGCTGTGCCTGAATTCCAACAGGGAGGAGGGTATAGTGAGATACGTTCGGCTCCCCCTTCCCATCATGGCCTGAACTAGTTTTTCAGGATAACTCTGTAATGCCCCTGGTTGGGAGGATGGGTCCATTCAGATGGCTGAGATGGTTGGGAACTTAGAATTTTATTTTTGGTTTACATTCAAAAGATTGAGAAATGATTATCAGAAGCCCAGAACCTGTGAGATCCTCTGATGCAGAGAGGCACTGTGGCTGTATAAAACATAACAATGGGGACTGATGTCTCCAAGTCCTGATCGATTCAAATGGCATCTGAAATGTTTAGTCCTTACTTGGTTTTGCTGACTAGTAATGTAAGATTTCATATGTTTGATAAATTCCTATTAGACAGCCATTGATTGCATGAGCCAAATAACGGGTCAGGGATCTGTTGTGGGTTTTGAGCTCTCCCTGGAGGGTTAATGGGCCTGACTGTGAGGACAAGACATTCTTCCGCATCCCTTGGCCACAGTCCCCTCCCTGTCTTCCTGGCAGACCTCTGCAAGAGTTGTTGGAAAGACTGAACTGACAGACATCAGAGGTTTGCACAGAGGCCAATAGCCTTATTTCCAACAGTTCTTCGATAATAGGCTTCTGCTCTTTTGTTTCTTGTTCAGTTGCTAAAGTTTTGGGTACAATTCTTGAAGGATCCATAGGTTCCTGCAAAGCCCAACCAATACATTCTTCCACATTGCCCCATCCTTAGTGGTTATGTTTTTCCTCTTTATCAGCAGGAGTTAGAAAACAAGCAGATTTCCCCCCTGAGATTCTTTCAGTATTGTTCTGGGTTCTATTAAAATGCTGGGTTAGTTTTCAGAGGGATTATTTCATCCTTTGAGCAATTAGTACCTTTTAAAAATTCTGACATCTTTCAGACCCTGTCCTGCAGACCCCACTAAAGTGCTTTTGTCAGAACAGTTTTAGCAGCCCTACATCATGTTTTGCCAGCTGCTCCGGCCAGCGGTGCAGAGAAAACACTTAAGCATATGGTTCAGATGCTTGCATTTTTATCTGAGTAAAATCTGTGTGAAAAGGCCTCAGAATTAAAAAGGCAATCAGTGTATATGATGTCAGAATGCTCACCATTTGTCTCACGGAGACATTTTCTTGGCATCCCTGTGTGATCTTGTAGGTGTGTTTAATTGTCCTAAAGGCACAGCTGTGTGGATTTGATTTGCCTACCAAAAAAAAAAAATTCCATATCTTCTGATGTCAGGGAACAATCTATGACTTCCCTCTTGGTTCTTACCTTGGAATTTCTATGAAGCCCCCGGACTTCAAAATCTTTTGGCGGCAAAGTAGAAAGCATTTTTCCTTCAGCCTTAAAGGCTGACTTTTGATACCTTTGAACTTATCCTGAAGAACAAGGACCATTCAGAATTGATCTCATCCCTTGGACTTTTAAATATGTTTGTAGCTTAGAGCTAAAAGGAAAAAAAAAAAAAAGGGAGAGAGAAGAAAGGAAATCTTTGCTGATCTTTCCTTTGTAGATAGTTGCGTGACCCTTTCCTGCAGGCTTTTGTGGGGGCGTTGCAGCAAAAGATAGTTTTGCCTCAGAGAACAATTCTTTTGAGCCATAACAGACTCATTTCCCTGGAGCTGAAATGAGTATTTCAACATTGATGTTTAAGGCACCCTCAGCCTGATCTTGGGGAAGCAGGAAGCTACTATTTGTAGTTGGGAAAAATACCAACCTAAGATGAAGAGAATCATTATGGCCAAGACTCTATTGTTTCTTCAAGTTACTCAAAGTTAATAATGTCAAAGATACTCACTAAGCAGTGGGTATATTCCTCTACATAATGCTCTGACATGATCTGGTATTTAAGTCACGCAACAAAGCTGCCAAAATCCAGACAGGACGGACACATTTGTGATGAACTTTCATCCTGAAAACTACCTTCTTGAATGAGTAGGCTATGGCTTCTCCCCATTACCTCTTTTTCCTCTTTGGATCCTTTGGAAAGGATCGAGGTGTCTGAGACTGGAGTTCCTGCCCTGTGCTTAGGTTGGAAACCTAGGCTGGTTTGATTTGCCCACAGAAAAAGCCTGTGGCTAGAAACTGACTTTTCCCACAGCTACCTGATCCAGTCCTACCTCTCCTAGAGGAGGCATCTCTCCTTGATTTGGAGACTTCCTGCAACATACTATCCTTGTAGATGACTCAGCTGCCAAACTCCCCTTCCTGGCCCAATTTTACTGCTGTTGAAGCACTTGTGAAGTATATAACTTAGTCTCAATTATTAGTACTCACAGAAGAGCGCAGAGATATAAAACAAAAAACAGACCCAATGAACAGTCCCTTCCCAGAACACGTGCTTTTGAATTGCTCTGTTTTCCACTGCCGGGGTATGATCTTTCCTAACATCAGCATGAACACCACCCACACAGCCCTTTCTCATGTTTTTTTAATTAGATATTGTTTTTGCAGTTGATAGAAGTAAAATAAGGTCCTTATAAAGCTTTGTCTCAGGGAGACTGCATGAGTAATAAGTGACAGAAAACTCAAAAAGGCTTAAGCAGAAAAGATAATTTATTAATGAAAGGTAATCAGGGCTTCAGGCATGCTGGATTTGGGGCTTAGGTTATTTAATCACAACTGTTGTTATCATATTTTGACTTGGTCATTTTTTTTTTTTTTTGTAAGCTTAAAAGTCTCAACTTCATGTGACAGCAAGATAGTTCTTAGTTTCAAATCTGGCAAGCAAGAAGGGTAACTGTTTCCCTCACAAACACCTCAAAAGAAAACCCTAAGGTATCTCATTGTCCCTGTAGGGTTAAATATCTTTCCTAAGCCAGCTATTGCAAAATTTAATAATCATGCTGGGTGGCCTGAAACCCATGTTACAATGAGCTTGTGTTACAGTCAGCTCCCTGGAACCACATAGACTGAAAATAGGAGATGAATGGATTTCTAAATGAAGATGGGGACTGTTTCCACAAGAAGGGGAAGTAGAAAGTGAGCGTGACTAGGACTACACATGTTCACTATAGGCACAGACACAGCTAAGCAACCATACCTTTTCTAATGGTACCAACGTCATGGCAGGCTATATCTGCCATGACTTAGTAAAAGGGGAAGAGAGGGAGATGTGTAGAAATGAATAAAGCAGAATCTTTGCCTTTGAGAATGTTGGGGCTCAGAAAGTGCTGCCCCAAAGACTGATGCTGTGATGTGCTGGGAGCCTTAGGAGCTGCCTATGAATGAAGATTCCTCTTTGTCTTATCCCTTAAGCACAAGGAGGAACTCTTCCTAGAATTCTTTTATGTGCCCAAGAAAGCTTCTTTCCAAAAGAAATGCAGTTATCTTAAATGCCTTCCTGAGGGATGTCACGATTAATCACAATGAGAAAAGGAGGGGAGGGGAGGGGGAGGCTGGGAATCTTCACCCTGCCCAGACAGACTTTTCATCTATTCCTCTGAGGGCAGCTCTAAGAGATTATCTGTGGGACTTGATCTGCATAATAAGGTGACAGTTGTTCCTGTGTAGTTCCACCCCTCACCTTCCCATAAGGTCGGCCTCGCACCTCCCAGGTCCATTATTTTTCCCTAATGACTTACTGTGCCTTAAAAGAAATGTCTACATTTCCCTTCTTCTTCCTCCCCTATAAAAAGGGTATATCACTTCTATCATTCTCCTGTGATCCTCCATGCTATGCACATTACAATAAACTTTTGTTGTATTTTCTCCTATTAATCTTCTGTCAGCTGATTTTCAGCAAGCCTTCAGAGGGCCAAAGGGTAGTTTTACCTTAGTTCCGACAAGAAACTCCATATTTTAAGTTTTACTTTGGCCAGAGATTGCAAATTCATGGTTCAGGTGCCAACACATCTTGACTTGTGCCCCTCACTAACAGGCCCTTCCTGCTGAATCTGGATATAGCTTTAGATATAGCAATCCGGGTAACTGGCACAAATCAACAGAGATTGGTGCATGATACGATACTTATTTTTCAACGTGTGTTAGATTGATATTAGTAGGTTGGACCAAGTGGACATTCATTTTCAGTGTGGTTGGGTAAAGTAGGTTGGGTGTGAGCTGGAGAAAGATGACAGCTGGTTGGTAACAGACCACAGATCACTAGGTGTCAGGAAAAGCCTGGATCTGCATGAGGATAATTGCTAGTTGACTCTGTTTCACAATTTGCAGATATCTAGCTTCTTACAAATAGGTCAATGAACATATCACATTCATTTCTTTTCAAAGCTTTTGGACATTTTAAATAATACTAGATAAAAATAACAGTGAGTAATCAAGCCCACATTTTTAAAAACAACTTTATTGAGTAAGATCTGTGTGGGATAAGGGGAAGAAATTTCTTGTTTCACATTACTGCAGTGTAACTAATCTAGCTGTCTGCTCTCAATGTTTAGAATTACACTCAGTTGGTTTAATGGTAGAGTTAAAGGCCAAATCTGCCATATAGTAGGGAGTATATGAAGCCAGGAGGAAGGATCCAGGATATGAACCATGACAGAATACACACACATTTTGGAGATGCGTGCTTTCTCCAAGCTCTGAGGACCATCACAAAGACATGTTAACTGAAAGAACACCAAGTGATGACTGAATAGGTCCTAACTATTGGAGGTAAGCATTTCTAAAATTATTTGGACAAGAAGTTAATACATTGTGCAAGTTACTCTTAAATGCTTTGTGAGATACAAAGAGGATAGGCTTGTCCCTTTTAAAAGAAGAGGTAAACAACCAAGTTGGAGATACAAGATTTACAAATATGAAAACTTAAATAACAATAAAGCACTTAATAGTAGCAAGCAATAAAGGAAAAGATGTCAGTAGGCAGTAAGTGGTTAACTACCAAATGTATTATCTGAATAATAACTGTGAAAAATTTTTTGGAAGGAGTGATTAGCTCAAGTTAGGGAATGAAGAAACTCATTACTAAAGAGGTGAGAACTGACCTGGTCCCACTGGGAGCTAGGATTAACTTATGAAGGCAATTTTGGTGGGGAAAGCAGCCTAAGAAAAAGAAAGATGAATGGAAGGATCAAAGTATAGCTGGAAGAGAATGAGAAATAAGTTTATCTGGAGCTGTTATTTTACGTAGAGAAGTTGAGTTGAGGGGAGGTGGTAAAAGTATATTGAAGCCCATTGTGGAGGCTCTTGAATGCTGAGCTGAAGGTTTTAGATATAATCCAGTAAACAATGAAGAGTCCTGGAAGGCTTCTGAGTGGCAGAGTGGCATGTTCTGACAGTGTTTTGGGGAAGGATAGTTTGACATAGATGTGGGGTATAGAATGGAGGTAACTGATACTGAAATTGAGGAAACCGTTAAGGGGACTTTTCAGCAATCGTAGGAAAGGTAAAAGAGTCCAATTTAACTTGTTGTCAATAGGAATATAACCACTACTGTGAAATAAGCATCAACAAGACTTGGTCACTATCTTCGTCTATTTTGTGTTGCTATAGAAGAATACTTGAGGCTAGGTAATTTATAAATGAAAAGTTTATTTAGCTCACTGTTTAGCAGGCTGTACAAGAAGCATGGCACAAAACTCTAGTTGTCTTCTGGTGAAGATCTCAGAAGTTTCCACTCATGGCAGAAGGTGAAGAGGAGCCAGCTGCTGTAAAGATCACGTGGCAAGAGGAAGTGAGAAGGAGAGAGGAGGTGCCAGCCCCTGTTTAACAACCAACTCTTGTGGAAACTAAGAGTGAAAACTCACTCACTGGCCCCCCCCACCCAGGGAAGGCATTAATCCATTCATGAGGGATCCACCCCTATGACCCAAACACCTCCTATTAGGCCTCACCCCCTAACACTGCTACACTAGGAATAAAATTTCATCCTGAGGGTTAGCGGGAACAAACAAACCATAACCAAAGTCTAGTGGTCACTACTTAGATACTTTCCACAGAGAAAAGAAAAGACATAAAGTTGAGATTTCAGGCTGAAAAGATTGGAATAATGGAGGAATCTGTAGAGAAAGACAGTTTCTGAGCTCAGATGAGAAACTTTGACCTAGATGTTGTGGTTTTGCTGAAGGTTCAATGATCAAGTAAAATGTTCATTGCTTTGCTGTGTTGATTGCCAATGAGGTTTTGGATGGAGATTCAGGAGTCATCTGCATGGAGACGGAAATAAGAGAAGAAGGTATATCCTAGGAAGGCCAGAGCCAAGGATTGAACTAAAGAATTTCTCATTTTTAAAAAGGTAGGTGGAGAAGAAGGAGCTAATGAAGAAAAAGAAACAAGTTGTCAAGAAGTGGGAAGAGAACCAGGACAACACAGCATCATGTCAGACAGTAAAAGAGTACAATTTCAAGAAGGAAGAGTGCCCAATAGCCCCTTGGCTATAGAAGAATCAAAGAGCAGGAGAAACAGGGAAAGGCCTTTAATTTTGTGATTAGGATGTCAAAGGTGACCTCCCAGGCATTACAACGTAGCAACTGAAAGAAAGTGAATGTGATCTAGAGAGAGAATTCAACAATGTGACCCAATTAGCTTAATGCCTCAAATTACCAAAATTGTACAGATTTTTAGTAAATTTTAAGCTGATAAATGTTACTACCATCAGAGACCATGGAAGGGAATACTAAAATACCTCAGGAAGACACAGATTAAGTATCCACTTACTTTATACCATATGTATAGCCTTTGTTTCAATGATGTTGATAATATTAATGCAACGTTGCTAAAAGTAAACACCCTCTATATTCTAGGCACTGTACTGAGCACTTTAACATATTTAGTTAACAGCACAATTCTGCATTCTGGAGTTGAGGAAACTGAGTTTTGGAAAGTTAAGTATTGCTTCTGAGATTCTATGGCCGGTGAACAATGCAGTCAGTATTCAAACCAAGGTCAACGTGACTCCAAAGCCCATGTATTTTCTACTGCACCAGGTGGACAAAGCTTTAAAACATGAGCACTTGACATGAGAAAGATACCTCACCTCTAGAATTTCCTGTTTAGTGCGAAACCCTGTTTATAATGAGAAGGACTTCTCCTCAATGAAAAGATGGTTTCTTTTATAACCTGAACATTTGTCTTCATTTACGAATTTCATCTTATTAGACTTAATCATCTGTACTGAACATCTGGCACTCACCTTAAATGTCTGGTTGCCTTGTAACTTTTAGAATTATGGAAAAAATGTAAAACTATGTAAGTTAGAAAGAAGAGTATTATAAATCCCCATGTACCTTTGTTCCAGCTTCAACATTGATTGATCAATATCTGATCAATCTTGTTTCATTTGCCAGACCACTTCCATCCTCTTTACTACTTACATTCTTGGAAGGGGGAGTGTGCTGGTTGACTTTTCCTGTGTCTCACTGAGTGTCAACCTGTTTCTTTTTAGCACAAAGCATCTTGTCTAATGTAAATTTGTGATGAACATGGTGAACCTGAGATTTGAGGAAGAAAAAAATATTTTTTCTCTTTGGAAGCAATTTTTAGGTGTTAAAACACAAACCTTAGACAAATTAGATTTGACAGAGTTTAATCGAACAAAGAACGATTTGTGAATTGTGCAGCCCCCAAATCGAAACAGGTTCGGAGAGATGCCGACACTGCCACATGGTCTAAGAAAATTTATGGACAGAAAAGAAAAGTGACATACAGAAAATGGAAGTGAGGTACAGAAACAGCTGGATTGGTTACAGCTCAGTGTTTGTCTTGTGTGAATATGGTTTGAACAGTTGGCCACATGTGATTGGCCGAAACTCAATTATTTTTACAAAAGTAATTTACAGCCTGTTTATACATCCAGTTAGCTTTCAGTTTACTATGTATGGAAAAACCTTTAGGCCAAACTTAAAATATGTAAGGGGGTGGTTTTAGGCCAAACTTAATTTAACATAGGGTACTTGTTTATAACTGCTAAAAATAAATTGGTAGGTAACCCTATTCTTAGGTTTTCTCTAGCTAAAACTCAGGAGATCCTGAGCTTAAGAAGACGTTTGCATGTGGTGTGAACTGCCTCTTGGGAATCCCTCTGGTGAGGGCAGACAGCTATCTAGTCTTTTCCGTTAGGCCAGGCAGGCATCTGCGATAGGCATATTAGTGCTGACAGTCACTAAAATCAGAACCGAAGTGTGGAAAATGAGCAGGAACCAACAGTTCTGGTCTCTGTGGGAGGTCAGAGTCAGAGTAAATTGACCTCTGCTCTTTCTCCTTTCCTTCTCTCCATCAGAGGTATCCAAGCCTTAAAGAGAGGTCTGCTCACAGGGGGTGACCAAAAGTGACCCATGACAGTGGCCATTGCTGAGGTCTTTAGCAGAGCCACAGAGACGTGGGTCTGCACCACAGGTAAGTTATAACTTATGCTTCTTACAAAGTTTTGTGCTCCAGATTAAAAGAGGGTGAAATTATTAATTGGTCTTCTTCATTTGCAATGTTTCTTCTTTTATTTTTTATGGAGGCATCATATACATCCAGAAATGTGTATATGTCATAGGTATGCAACTCCACAAAGTTTCAAACTGAACATACCTGTGTGTGTAACTAGCACTCAGGTTGGGAGACAGGACATTACTGCACCTAGGTGTGCAACTGTGCTTCCATCCAGTGGTGACCCCTCCCAGCAGTAACTGTCCTCCTCATTTCCTTACAGCATGGATTACTAACAATGCTTCTTATAATAAAATAAAGTTGGAGATAGTTCTTAGAGAAACCCTTTCCTTTTAGGTCCTTCTCCTCCTTGTTATATTTTTAACATCTTTTAAAAAATAAGCCAATAATCCGAGTCATGTGGGAAGAGCCCAGGTAAGAGGCAACAGCCATTCGTCAAGAGCAGCCCCCCACCCTCTCTTCCTGAGTCCACTGGATTGAGTCCAGCTGGATTGGTTACAGCTTGGTGTTAGTCATTGCCTTTCTATCTTGACTAGCTCCATCAAAACTCCTTGGAATTGACTGTCTTAACTAAAAGCTAAGAACTTGCTGCCAATGCATTGCAACACTCCAGTAGCACATGCTGCAATTACTGAATTTTCCATGAACATCCATAAATAATTCAAGAGGGGGCAACTTGATGGGTTGGGGCGATGTGTGATGACCACCCCCGGAAGAAAGCTGTGCTTGCAAACATCCCTGAGTCCTGCATCAGTAGATACATAGCCAGCTTCTGTGAGGTTCAGGTTTCTACTCACAAAGAGACACAGGGAGGGGAGAAACTTGGTCTTTTAACAGTCTGATTCTCCCCAGTCTGATTCCAAAGGGAAGGTCAGGAAGGAGAAGAAGTAAAGAGCAAGGGCTTTGGAGTCAGAGAGTCACTGGCTTCAGCCATGCCTTTACCATGGTTACCTTAAACAATTTCTATAAACTCAGTTTTTGTGCCTGCAAATGTAGGACAATAGTATCATGAAACTCGTATGTGACAATGCATGTGAAGCACTAGGCAAATAATGTGCCACATGGTAAATGCTCAATAAACATGAGATCTTACAATTAAAAAAAGCTGTTTTCCCAGAAAAAGAACAAAGGGATTTTAGATGGACAGAATGACACAACACTTGACTAACTTTTAAATACTTAAATCAGTGAATCAGGGCTTAATTAGACACGTTTGATCCATTCAAACCTCTTGGTTTTTTCTATAGGACCAAAATGACATCTTATGGCATTGGCACTTCAGATGTTGCCCGCACAGAGTGGCGGGACAAGAGGACGTCATCCTGCCTGGGTCCAGATTTTGTGGGAGGGAGGCCCTGCAGGACAAAATAAAGTCTTGATGAAGTTATGAGGAAGAAAATAATCATCTTAAAGTTTATGATGAGATAAGGGATACCTGGAATACTTTTCCCTTTAGACTATTTTAGATTAAAATGAAGTGCTTTCCAACGCCCTTTAACAACAGAATAGCGGAAGTTGAAGTACTTTTAGGCACAAAAGTTGGATCTACTATGGTTCTCTAATGATTTCTGTGGCTGTCATGTTGCCCCCTTCACCCTACCTCCACACCGTTGCCTCTCCTCAGCTGCTGGGCTCGTGTGTCTGCCCCAACTCTCCAATCTGCTGCTTTCAGTAAACTTAGTCCATGCTCTGTTTTCTCTTGCACTCTGTGTTTCTCTCTGAATCATTTTCTAGGATTAGATCATTTTGCCCAACATTTACTACATGTACAAAATTGGGGAGGATTCCTGAACTCTTTACATTTCAGTTTTCTCCTCAATCGAGCAGGGCTATCAACAGCATCTCATTCACAAGGCTATTGTGAAGAATAAATAAGATAATGTATGTAAATGCTCAATACAGAGCCTGATACTTAGTAAGCACTGAAGAAATCATTGCTGCTGTAATTGTTATCATAATCACCATCATCATCACCATCAACACCATCATCATCAAATCCTGAGGCATGAAAGTCTCATTGACAATCTCCCTCATGTCTCCATAGTATAGTCTTACCTCCTGACTTGCTTTGAATGTGAAATTTTGGATTTACATCTGTAGATCATGCAGTTGTCCAATTTTCTTCCAGTTGCCTTGGAAATCTGCCCATCCTCTTCATTGTTCTTATGTTCATTCTGCATCTGAACACTTGGAGGAAAAATGAAAAACTCAATCAAATGTTCAGCTAGTCACTCCATGTTGTACCAAATACTTAAGTTGTTCTAAATATTTGGAGCATTGACAAGTTTTTAGTCTGCTTTTGGATATTTGGCAGATTAAAAATCAGAAAACACAACCTTATCAAGGACCAGGCCAGGAAGAAACAAATCTCTTTCATGTGATCAATTTGAAACAGGCTGTTGATGTGGACAACATTTTTGTTTGATGGATCAGAACAATTTTAAAAATTGTTTTTACCAAAAAATGGGTGTGCCCCTGCAAGATGATGGATGGGATGAAGATTAAGATTAGGGTAAGGCTCTCTTTTATATACATTATAGTTTCATGATTTTTAAAAAATTAAGTTATAATTTATATTCAATGCAATTCACCAGTTTTAAGTATACAATTTGATGAGTTTTGTAACAGAGACACTTATTACCACATCAAACTACAGACTATTTCCATTACTTTAGGAAAGCCCTTCATCCCTTTACAGTCAGTCCCCATCCCTTTCAAACACTGATCTGCTTTGTCTCACTATAATTCTGCCTTTTGTAAAACTTTATACAAATGAAATCATAGGATATATGTTCTTACATCTGGCTTTTTTCACTGAGCATAATTCTTTTGAGATTCTGCATGTTGTCGCATGTATTGGTAATTTATTCCTTTTTATTACTGAGTTGTAGTTCATCATAACACAATTTGTTTGTCTATTCACCAGTTGATGGATATTTGGCTATTATAAATAATGCTGCTATGAACATTCAAGTACAAGTTGTTGCACAGACCTCAGTTTTCATTTCACCTGGATAAATACCTAGGAATGGAAATGCTAAGTTGTAAGTATATGTTTGACTTCTGACAAAACTGTCAAACTGTTTGCCAAACTGGCTGAACGTTTCACATGTCCACCAGCAAAGTGTGGGAGTTCCCACACCCCAGTTTCAGCAACACTTTGTATGGTGATTGATATGGTTTGATTCCATGTCCCCACCCAAATCTCATCTCGAATTGTAATCTCCATGTATTGAGGGAGGGACCTGGTGAAAGAGGATTGGATCATGGGCACCAGTTTCCCCCATGCTGTTCTCATGTTAGTGAGGGATGGTTAGTAAGTGTACGGTTTCCCCTGTATACTGTCTCTCTCCTGCTGCCATGTAAGACATGCCTTGCTTCTCCTTCACCTTCTACTGTGACTGTAAGCTTCCTGAGGCCTCCCCACCCATGCAGAACTGTGAGTCAATTAAACCTCTTTCCTTTATAAACTACCCAGTCTCAGG